AACTTGTTTTATGAAACAGGCCTCGAGGCATTAAAAGTGATATTTTCTCCATATTGCATCGAATTGTGTTGAATCGAATCGAAATCAGATCGCACTGCATCGTAATAGGGGGTGAATCGAATTGCATCGCATTGGTAGCTGCTTCATATGTATCTTTAATGTATCGTATCGTTGGCTATGCATCGAGATGCGTATCGTATCGGCCTCAGTCATGAGATGCACATCCCTACTGTTTAGAGGTTTATTTGTTTTTTACTTTTTAAGTAACTAGTTACTACTTACTGAACAAGCCAGTTAATCGGCTTTAAAAGTGATTGATTGATTGTACAATGAAATTAGTAGAGTGTTAGTGCTGGTTTGTATCACAGGTTCAGGAGTGAAAGTAGTTACGTGAATCTAAGACACTTGCCGACTGAATGGTGTCTCTATTCTCCCAAAGTAATTTCCTGTGAAATGATCAAGGAGTTTCAGTGCAATAGCCGCAAAGAGGAGCCAATCACAAGGGAATAATCCCCGTCTCCTGCCAATCTCAAAGTTTTAAATACCTCATTTAGTGCTGAGGAATTTTAAACAGCTAACTGGATGTTTCTGTTGGAGAGAGACGTATAGGGGATTTACACTCTCTTGCAAGATTAAAGATTCATTCTCTCGCTCTCTCTTTTTCAAATGCATCTCTCGTGATCTTTTTCTTCAGTTTCCCATAAGAAAAAGATGTCATGAATGAAATCTCACAAGTCAGTTGTTTCTTTTCCTGAACGCCAACAAGAGCAAATGGAAATAATGTAATGTAATATAATATAATATAATATAATATATTGCAAGTGCATATTTTTCTTTTATTCAGCATTCACATTAATCATTGTCATTAATCATTAATCAAGTCACAAGCCATCACACAAGATGTTGATAATGTTATTTCAATATTTCAAATAAATGCTGTTCTTCTGAAATATCTATTCAAAGAATCAGGAAAAAAGTATATTCATTTCCACAAAAATATTAAGCAGCACAACTGTTTTTTTAAGATTGATAATAATAATAAATGTTTCTTATGCTAAGTCTACATTAATCCGGATACATCTGAAAATGGCATTTTCATTTTAAAACGCTCTCCGTCCACACTAGCGTTTTCAAGCATTTTCCAAAAGTTTCTCATCCACACTGAAACATCAGAAAATGTTACATTTTGCTTTACTGCGCATGCGTAAAGCCTCAAAAAAGCTCAATGAGATGATACAGACGGAACAGACATTTTCATGCAATTCTTCTGACAGGATCAGTTTATTTAGGAAAAAAACTTGGCATACACTGAAGCATCTAGGTCACACTCACTCACGATTGTATGTCTGATCTAAAACGCAACTGCCCTCACATTTTGCCATCTTTGCAGGACTGCGACATGAAGAGTGTATAAAGTAACACATCTGTAGCAAAAGTGTGAAAGTGAATAGCACATAACAGGCACAATTAGGGTTGGGTATCGTTTGGGTTTTTTTCAATACCAGTGCCAAATCGATACTTTTAAAACGGTTCCAGTGCCTAAACGGTGCCTGAACCGATACTTATAAAAAAAAATAAAAATTAATTCCCCAAAAAATGAAGGATTGGCCATAGCACTATAAACACACGATGTCGGTTTCATTCATACTGGATGCCAGAGGACGCCCTCGCACAGAAAATCCACATATCCAGTCACAGAAGTAGCTGTGATCTCATGACTCTCCAGGAAATCCCTTATATGGACAAAGGCGTCGCCTTTATAGCTGTAACTGAGTAAACAGAACATATAAACGTTTTGAATGATAAAACAAAGACAATAAACACTCGACTGTGTAATGACTTTGATTACTTAATTTTAACTGTAGGGAATTAATTATTATTAATTCATTCAGGTTTATCTCTAGCTCAAGTTTTGAAGGAACTCGATCTGAGAATTCGAGGTCCACCTGATCAAAACTGATTCTGAATTTAAATGGTTTACACTCTATCAGCTACTCGGCCAGCGAGAAGTTAATGTCAGTGTATATTACCAATTGAATATGTATTTTATGTTCTCCCTGGCCATGGGTTAACACAATTATGATAATTTGTCAGCTCTTAAGAGAGAGGTAACGTTGATCTTGGCAAAGTTTTAACCTTGAAATTATATGACACCAAACAATGATTTTCTATAAATGAAACATGAATTTTATTGGCTATTCTAGATTACATAAAACATTTGACTGGTGTTGTGGAGTAAAAAGGTTATACTTTTCTCTTTTGTTGGACAACAGGTTTAGAAATGTGAATACAAGGGAAGTTTAGCGTTAGGCATTTTAATTTAAGCATGTTTAGCTTAGTTAATTGAAGGCTACCTGCTGCCATTAGAGCAAGTGTAATTACTGCATTCACGCGCTCCTCGGATGCTCTCATTTCCCGAGTTGTGCTTTTAAGTCGGAATGTGAAAACAACACGGACACTCTCGTTACTACAAAGATTTGTTAGCTTTGTATTATTACAGTTTTCTGACTTGAGTTCACGTGCATTTTCTCAGTCGGGAAATTATTTTTCACTTGCGGTGCCGGTGATGATGCTTCTTACGTCCATTTTGGAGAACCAGAGGACAAATAATTTCAATCGATCGCTCAGGCATGGCACCGAAATGAGGCACTGAAATCTGCATTCTGATTCGGTTCTAGTACATACCGGTTACATACGTAGGTACCGGTGCCATATTGGTACCGGGTTTCGGTTCCCAACCCTAGGCACAATACCGGTATAAACATAGATATTTATTGGTACAATATGTTTCACATGATTAAACGTGTCACCGTTTTCAAAAGCCTCCGTTTCATAGACCACACTACAACACGTAAATGGCATTTTCAAAAGTATCCACTTTGGAGAATGTTTTCAAAAAGCTCAATTTTCCTTGACAAAAACGCCATCTCAGTGTGGACGGATGGCCAAAACGGAGAGAAAAAGATGTGTTTTCAAACAAAAATTTATTAGTGTGGACAGCCTTGAGCACCAAATCAGCATATTATAATGATTTTTGAAGGATCATTTGACTGAAGATGGCTGCAGAAAATTCAAGTTTGCCATAACAGAAATAAATTACATTTTAAAATACATTAAAATATAAACGGTTATATTAAACTGCAATAATATGTCAGAATATATTTTTCTGTTTTTACTGTATGTGTCAACTTAATGCAGGCTTGGTGAGCATAAGAGACTTAACTGTAAGTTAAAATCTTACAGACCCGAAACATTTAAACAGTAATGTATACATAATATTTATGATAATTTCTCTTTCTTTATTGTATGGCATATTGAGAGTGAACAGATCTGTGGCACCAAAGAAAAAGTAAAAATCAGTGGTAAAGATAAAAGGACCTTAAATTAATTGAGCACAGAGTTAAATTCTGTCAGAGTAGTCATATGCAGGATAATATAAATAAATATGACAGGGTCCACATCGGTACATTATCCTGCTTCATATTTCCTCTGCTTTTGTCAAGCTGGGTAGCGTCTCAGAAACAGTGCTCTTCCTGCCTAACAAGCCCCAAATGTGAAGTCTGTACCGCCTTCCTCAGCTACACAGACTGCTGTTGGATGAAGGTCAGCATGTAAGAGTTTTTCAGAGAACATGGACACACTCCTTTGTGTTCATGAAAGTTGTTATCCTTGTTCAGGAATCTGCTCCTCGCGTTAACCACAGAACCATGTTTTTGTGAAATCGGTCGAAGATGATCCAGATATCCCTCTAAAGATCCAATACAAAATTGCTCATTGATTTTTCTACATCTTTCTCCTGGCATTATACAATGTGATTGTTGGTTACAATATTTGCCATTTTCCTCTTGTAATGTATGCAGTGACCCATTGAGACCAGGAAGGCCTGGTTTCCATGCCAACCACTGGCCTTTAAAGGAAGCTCTATAAATTGGTAATAGGGAAGACTACTCTTTGCTACTACATGTTCTGGGATTCTCCTCGCAGGGTAGTGTGAATCCTCAGGGGGTTCAGTAGTAAATAATGTATCGATGACGATGAACTGACTCTGGAACGGTGCCCGGTTTGGAATAATAGTAGTAGTAGAAGTAGTAGTGTCCTTCACCTCCACAGTTCAGCCTGGTGGAGGTGCCCACTGGGATTCCTGCCACATTAACAGCCAACAGTGCTTCCATACCAGAACGAATCAAAGCTGCTTGTGTTTATTCCCGCCGGTGCGGCCTTCTCTCACATTTACATGCGTAAGTGAGGCTGGCTTATCCAGGGCTGATTAGATGGCTTCAAGGATGAGTTCCTCCTGGTGGCGCTCTGCAGTGGAGGCTGGGGTGGCGTGTTAATCTGCGTCCCGCGTCCCCTGTGCAGCTAATGGGGAGCTGTCTGCTTTTAATTGGAGAGATAAGGACGTCACTTCTCACAGGGCAATCTGCTTGCCCCGTCACTCGAGAACTGCTTGAATAGAAGTCGAACCGCTCCAAAACATTTCACTTTAACAGTCTCACCATGTTCTATAAGCCGACACTCAGTAGCACCCATTATCCAAATCCATCCAGCATCTTTTTTTTCTTCTTTGAAATATGTGTTCTGCTTATGTTATGTTCAATTTAAGTCATTTCATTGTGTCCTTCGAGTTTGTTGTCTCTTCCACAAACTGATGTTTTGAATGTCCCTGGTGTGGATGATTCAGGTCTGCTAATGTTTTGGCCTGTGGGTGGCAGTGGTGTAGCAGGTTTACCATTTTCTCATACACTTTCATATGAGAAGTTCTCTTATAATATCATTTGATTGGTGAGAACCACCCTAACATGTCAAATGCTCTTGAAACCATTAACCCTATATTAAAAATTGTAACATTAGACTTTCATTAGGCTTGTATACATTTTCTCGCTTTCTTGTTCCCAGGATGCGTGATAAGCACTGCGCAATAATGCTTCACAGATAAGTGTCAGGAAGTAAACAGCATTTGTATCAGATGGCTTTTCTAAATAGTAGATGCAGGCTTCCATTTAAGTTGCATAGATATATAGAAAACTGTTTCTTTTGCAGTTCTACATGTGTAGCAAAATCATTCTAAATGCTTTGATATTACAGCAGTATAATAAATCAATTGTTGTTCATTTTATTTGTTAACAATTCATAATTTTGTTGTTATAATTTGTGTGTATATATCATTTTAAAGAGTTTGGGGTGGGTAAGATTATTATTATTATTATTATTATTATAAATTAAAGGCATTTGTAATGTTACAAAAAGGGTTATTTTAATGCTGTTTATGCTGTTCATTTAAACTTTCTGTTTACCAAACTGTCTGTCTATCTAAAGTTATTTTAAACTGTAATAATATTTCACAATAATCCTGTTTTTTCTGTATTTTTATTAAATAAATGCAGCCCTGATTAGAGACTTTTTTCAAAAACATTTAGAAACTTTTGAATGGTAATGTTGTATATGCTTTAGCCATTTAAAAAAAACATTGAAAGACCTCTATTTGAAATTGAATATGTTTATACTCTTTGCTAGGCTCTTATGTTTTCCTGGCCTCGCTTGAGAGAAGCTGACCCTGTCCTGCGTTGTGAGATGGCCTCCACCGGAGAGGTATGGAGCTGCTTCAGGCACATTGATTACCATTACATCTGTCATAAAATCTGAAGTGTCCCCAGCTTGTGTTTTCATCTCAGGTTGCTGGGGAGCAGTCCCACCGTCAGGGATAAATATTTACATATTGTTTACCAATTGTAGCCTTATTAGTTCAGTGGCTTTCATGGACACATACTTCTAGTTTTCCCGTCCAAATCCAGCAAAGAGTATTTTTATGCTTCCACACGGGCCGGTTTACCTGCTCTCCCTGGCAACGAGAAAACCATAGAAACCAGCCTGGAGGACAATGAAGCAGGAGGAGCGTTTTTATCGTGCAGCACTGATTTCCAGCATTAGAACAGGAAGTACAATATCTCCACCCCAGATTTTATGATGGCCCCATTCTGTCTGTTTTTTCATAATTGTAATATCACACCAGTCTACCTTCATTCAGCAACATCTTTAATATGTTTGATTTATTTCACCTTGGCTTTGAATATTGTGCTAATGGAGATAAATGAATAATTTACCCAGGAGTTTCTGCGTGCTGTGATGAATATTTGCAGATTTGCTCGTGATCTTAAAGATCAAGATATTTCTTTCTTGCTCTTGTTTTTTCTCTTGTCTTTTCTCTTTGCAGGTGGCATGCTTTGGACCAAACATCTACTCTGCCTTCCTGAAGGCCATGCTCTCTACAGGATTCAAGCTTCCCCAGAAGGGGATTCTCATTGGGATTCAAGTGAGGGAGAAACTTTTTTTTTTTTTCTTTCCTTAAGGGTTGAATCTCAGAGGACTGTCTGCATCACATCCTCTCAGATTTACTCAGTAGAACATGAACATTTCTGGCTTGTTTTGATTAGGAGCAGGTTGTTTTTTGCAAGTCGTTATTTCCTCATAAAATGATAAACGCTATAATGTGAGGTTTTCAAGTAGGAAATCAATTCCTGAATATATTTAGTGCACATTTATGAGCGTAAGAATTGACATGTAAAAATTCTGCTAGTTTCTCACCCTTGCGTTGTTAAAAACTGTGAAAGGTCTGGCTGCTCTTTTCTATACAATGAAAGTGAATGGCAACCAGGTTTGTCAAGCTACAAAAATTACAAATAGCTCCATAATAGTATTATGAAAATGGTCAATATTACTTGTGCACTGTATTCTAAGTCTTCTGAACAGACTGAAAGTTAGGATGTTTCTTCCTGAAAATCTTGCCCTCCACCATAGCTTACAAATATTATTTTGCATTCATGTACAATTAAGGCAAATTTATAATATAATATAATATAATACAAAGCAGTTTGATTAAACTCAGAAACCTTTTTTTGTATGAACTGACATTTTGAGATCGACATTTAAACGGCACAATTACTGCCATTAAATAATTGACAGTATCTTAAATAATTGCACTTGGATCAAACAACCACAATCAGACAATTATTCAGTCGTGACAGGCCATTCATCTGAATGTATATTATGCATATATTCAGTGCACTACTTGGAACTGATTGATCTAAATTTTCCTCATCAAATGTGAAGCCACATATCTCACAAATGGATTATTATCCATAAAAAAACTACTAAAATAAGAAAGCAGCTGCGTTTTTGCATGTTAATCTCCCTAAAGCTGCACATAAACGTATAACCATCCCGAAGGTGTGAATACTGTGACACATATTCACTGGAAAAAGTTACTCCATGAAATGCGACAACCTTGTGATGCAGGCACGAGCTGTATAAAACAGGCTTTATAAAGAAATTCTTAAATGCTTAAAATAAAATGCACTTTCTGATCTGTTTCCTCAAATGTTTTTTTTATGGGCAAAATGATTTTATTGTGCATCTTCCTTTGGTGTAACTGTGATGTTCACACATTATTTTAAGCCTTTACTATAACACTGGAATTCAGAGGCTTTGTTTTATGTTTTGATGTAATATCATCATCATCGGCATGCCCTCTTTCATTTCCTCCTGTGCTCTCTCAGATGTTTACGATTCATGCCCACTCTCAGCGTGGAAATCAAATATCTTGTCAGGGTCATTGACGATGCTCAGACAGCACTGTGTTCTAATGGAGTCTCGGGTATGAATGAGAGCATGAAATTCCCATTCGAAACAAACCCCCGGTTCTGTAGATGCTACCTGCCTGATGGCCATACCTGGGGACTGCAGATCTGACATGCTTTTTAAAGCCTGATTACCAGCCCGTGGTTAAGTCTCCGTGAACACAGAGCTGCGCTATTGATCTGGAAGTGCTTCGAGGAAGACTTTTCTTCTAGAAATAGTCTCCTGCTCTGCACCCATCCACACAGACTGCCTGACCTTTTGGCTTTGAAGTTTTTTTTCTGTCCGGCTATCTTTTTCTTTCTGCTTTCTCAGTTGTTATTTTACGTTTTTGTCTCCAGCATTCATTCAGGCCTAACTTCATTTCCACTGCTCATCAGCTTCATGAGGAGGGCTTTAAGGTGAGTTATTTCCATCCACTTCATTGGGTTTGAGTTAGAGTTGAATTAAATAATGGAGCAACAAAACAGCTGCGGACACTCTGATTACATCTTGCATTGATAAAAAAAAAAAAATGCTTCTGTATTTGTCTTTAGCTCTTTGCCACAGAGGGTACATCAGCTTGGCTCAATGCTAATGATGTTCCAACAATCCCAGTTGCTTGGCTGAGCCATGAAACCAAAAATACAACCTTACCCAGCATAAGCAGGTGAGTACTTTTACTTTTTTTCCATTTTATTTTTATTACGGCTCTCAATTGCTATACATATTCAAATAAAATATTTAAAAATGTTTATTAAAAGTGATATATAAATAAAATGTATTATTATCATAAATTGCAAATAAAAATTAAAATGGCTAATTAATAAATACATATTTATTCCCATTTTATGTTCATAAACATTTTAGAAAACTAAATATTAGGCTCTCAAACTTTCTGTAACTAATAGTTTTGGCAATTTGTGATGACACTCATTGTGCAAAAAATGAGGTTGGTAGGGTTTTTTTTTTTTCCCCCAAGAAGTCTCTCCAAAGCTGTATTTATTTGATCAAAAATATTGGGAAATATTATTACTATTTGAAATAACTGTTTTATACCTTATTTT